CAGCAGGAAAAAGGAAGGATCCAGTAAAACGACAGGAAACACTTCCAAGAAATTCTGATGGAAGAGGTGTTTTCTACTATGAATCCCCCCACCTGTTCAACTCCAGGCTCCTCAGTGTATTAGCTAGGACATAGAATCCCCTTTGCTTTAATTCAGTGTCACCTGGACTTGATCTTAAAGACCAAGCACTGGAAAAAAGGATGTCAACAAGCAAACTTTTTGAATGCTGCTTAAAAGCCGCATCAGATTCACTTACCTGTTATTCTCTTTTCTTTATTCAAGTCAATCTGCAACCACTGATGTTCATCACTGATAAAAGCAGCCCAAGGAGGACCAACCCTTTTTAGCCTGGCATTTTCAGGTTTCCAGATGTTCACTTGTCCTGTTTGGTCAGACCACTCAAGAACAGATGATGCCGTGATCTGGGAATCGGGGATTACCCCAGACTCCATCCCCAGTGTTCCATAGCAACCTGCACGATGAAAAGGTGAGGATTCAAAATGAAAATTCAATAAAATCATTACACGGTGATTTTACCCGCTCAGAGTTTAAGACTTTACATGCAAATATTAAACTGCCATTTAAATTTATTCCATAACAACACTACCAACAAAACACACCGTCTTCTGCTTTCTAACAGTGATGCTGGAACCACACCCGTGGTCACGAGTATGCCGTGATGTATGCCTGCTCAAGAGTAATGGGGATATTCTCTCAATTACCACCCACACAGAGCACTAGACGAGAGGCCCTGGGAGAGCTGTCATGGTTTAGGAGTATGTATGATCGATGCAGGCATGGGAAACAGACTACTTGATCATTTGTTCCTTTTTTGTGTCTATGTAACTTCTTGGGTTTTAAACCCACCTCAGTATCACACTGTTAATTCGAACAATACACCAAAGAACATAGCAAGCCGTGTCATAATCTAGGCCTTGAGCTTAAACACATCCTTGAAATGAGTTGTATTCTTTTGTCACCATTCTTACTAAAAGTTTCTTCCCATGTCACACTCTACTGCTGATGGCTAAAAAACATCTCCTAAATTTCTGCCTAAATTTCCTTGTGGCTAGTTGAGACCACTTGCCCTTCGTTAAAATCTTGTTCTGTAGCACCAACAGCTTCACCCTCTCACACATGTATTCCCCAGACACATCAGTGCAGAGCAATCTTTGCCTTCCGTCAGCCAGCCGAACAACACGGCGTGGTTTCCCTTTTGCTGGGAGCTCCCCCTCTCCCTGCAGGTCCCCCGCAGCCCTCCTCTGCACCAAGGCCGGGTGCCCATTCCTCAAGTGAGACACAGGTGGCAGAGCCCTCGTGCGACTGGACCCCAGACAAAGCCTTGCCGATGTCCCGTACGATGGTGCTAATAGTTCGTTGTCTCGACTGGACGTGCTTCCCCTGGTACAGCATCACATTAGCAGCACTTCACTAACAGAATCCTTTCCCTCCTCCGTCACTGCCATCTAACACGCCGCCAGTTTGAAGCAGAAATGCCTCAGTCTCTACATACCCAAACTGTCCTGGTTTGCCTGGGATATAGTCACAGCCCAGCCATGCTAGGCAGGCTGTCAGCAGTTTTGAGTCAGCCAGGGCAGCTGCCCTGAGTTGGCTACAGGTGCAGCCCATCCCGTATGTCATGGTCATTGTTAAGGGGTGAAGGTTGGCTGAGGAAGGGGAGCTCCTGTGGGGTTCCTGCTGGGGTTCCTCCTGCTCCCCCTCTGGCTTCTCCCTGCTCCTCAGGACTGCTCTCATGTCAGTTGTGACGGCTCCATATTCCTTTGGCTGACTCTAACCCTGCATTCCCTGGCTGGCAGTGATGCTGTTTCATTACAGCTGTCTCCACTTAACCTACAGGTCTGCTCGCCTTTTCCCGATTCCCCCTTGGGGCTGGTGAGCGGTTGTCGGGTGACAGAGCAACTGCTGTAGTTTAGCCCCGGGTACTAAATGTAGACACCAACCTTATACATTTTGCTCTGTGATTCTTCAATCCATTTCTATCACTCAAATCTCAAAGTCAGCCAGGTTGTGCTGTACAAGGTCTGCACTGACCACACCTCTAGCATTAACAGCACACTCTATTTTGTACAAAGTCATGAAACCAACTATTACAGAAGAGCCACACTAGTAACTTCACCAGTCTGATAAACCTCATTTCAGCGTACAACAGAGTCCTCTTTTTCCTTCAGCTAACTCCTAGGCCACCCAGCTACATACATTTTAATCTAGACCTGCATCTTGTCTCTAGCTTATTTGTTAATTTCTCAAATGTGTCACTGAAATCCAAACAGTCTAGATCAGCATTTTGTCCTGTCTCTTCGTATTTCCAGGCCACTTAATTACTTTCATATACACTATCAGATCACATTTTGAAAGACAAAAGACCCCAACAAACCCTGCCTCCATCACTGTGCTCAATATTCTCCATGCATAAGGTCACCAGACGTGCAATTCCTTCTTCCAGCTCTTGCAGAGAAATTATTTGAATATTATGTGGATTATATTTTCTAATTTGTTTGTTTGTATACATTTCCATTTCCAAACACTCCTGCACATCAGATTCCTGCCTTTATACCCCCATTCAATGTCACTTATATATTAGGAAAAGTTTTTGTTTACTTTTGAGGAGTATGTGTATGATTTTTTGGTTTTAACTTTATCCTTATGGAAAACAGATGTAATGCTTTTGTTGGGTTTTTTTATATTGTTATTAAAACAGTTAAAGAGACTAAGGAAAGGCCACTGTCTTCACAGTACTTCCAACATCCATTCAAAGATGGCATTTAAAGTGACTGACATAGAAGCTAGCTTCCACTTAGAAAACTACAGCTAATTTATTTGAAAAACAGGTATTCGATAGGAAGTAAAAACATGCAAAGCAGTAAAGCTTTAAAAAGGGACAACACTTGTTATAGCAATCAGCAACCTGGTACATATTTATGAAGCAAAACATGGCAGCCAAAAAGGAACACAACTTGCACACAGAGCAAGGCCCAAGAGATGCCCTTGCAGAGCAAGGGAGATGAGTGATTTATCACATCGCATTCAGCTGCAAGGATATGGGAGGAAAAAAAAAGAAGAGGTGGAGAAAGCTAAGGAATCATTTTGGGATTTCTGCTAGCTTTCTTAGCAGGCAACAAGGAAAGTGTAAGGAGTAAACGTGGAAAAAAACTCAAATACACAGCTGGTACAAATAAAGGGCCCAGCTCTGCTTTAGCAGCGTGTTTAAAGTACGGGAGTCAAGTCACTTTAAACCACTGTAAAAGAGGAACATAACCTGACAGAATCTTTCTGCATATAAGCAAGGCTTACTTTATACATCACTGTATCTATACACATAGTGATGATTAATCATCAAATTGAGAGAGTAAAACAATTCAAAAATATACATTACTGAGAAATGCAGTAAAAAAAAAAAAGGATAACAAAACTTAAGAAATAAAATACCTGAACAATTATTTCTACTCACAAAGTTTATATGAAAGTATCAACATGCAATACATGTGATAATGCTTACCGCTCGTCTTAAACGTGAAGAGACTTGTAGATAATGGTCCCCTGCAGAGAACAAAAGATGAGGGTTTTTTGTGGTAGTCAGCAAGGAAAACTGAAACAGTCTTCCACTTTTTTTTCTTGCCTGACTGCTTGCCTCTGAAACCTGTGCACATATGCCTCAGTGAGCAGCACCTCACGATTCAAGTAACATTCCTGTTGCCAAGTTTCAATGCTTTCAGTACAAACACCTTTTCAACTGAAATCTAGTCCAGAGATACCACCTGAGTTAACGGCTTTCAAACAAACATTGGCCTAGCAAAACACAAGGCTTCATTAAAATGCTTGTCTCTTAAATTCAGCTAATCACAATAACAAGAATCAATTTCCTCCGATTTCTTTCATTCCTGGGACTTCTGAGATAAAATTACAAGTTACACTCTTTTTCCCTGCAACTAAAAAGCTGCTATTAAATTATTATTTTTCCACAGACCATTAGGAATTTATGGTCATGTCATGCATTTTGGAAGATAAAACCTGCTTGCAGAATTTGGAAAGTTACTCCTTATCGTCTAGAGGTTAAAAGTATTTGGTAAAGCAATCACACCATAGAAAAAGAGCATTGTGAGAACCTTACAGAAAAGAACCTGTCCATGGAACACATAGCTCCACTAGCTGAAATCAGTCCACGATGAGACACTACCAAGATCTAAGGTGCTAAAGACAAGGAGAATCAAGGAAGCACACTTACACTTTTGAGGTGACGTTGTTCGCCAGGGAGCCTTCATAGTATGGAATGCCCTTGCTGATTACAACATTAATTTGGCCACCCAGAGTATTTGACACAACGCCTGCGTGAACACCAGCCATACAAAGTGATGATGACTTGAAGAGGGTGGAAAAAAGAAAAATTGAATACTACATTGTAAATAAATTAAATACTGCACTGTATATTGTAAATGCTACATTGTCCAGTTATAGTCTTTGTTAATATACATGAAGATACTGTTCTTATTTAACTGTTACCTCTGTTATTTAGAAACCATTCATCTTTGGTTTATTATGGAATTTATAAAAAAACAAAAGGAAGGTCCTCACCCAGATGTATTTGCATTGTAACTCTTGTAATTAAATAAGCTCAAACAAACAGCAAGGTGAATCAGTCTGAAAAAGCCAGACAGGCAGACCTGCAGCCTACAATAAATCTATTATGTTAGACAACAGGAGTTGAATGCATAAATACATAGGAAACCTTTTAACAGAAAGCACACTGAAAATACATTTATTCATCCTCTCATAATTAAGGAGTTATGCTCTGCAGATATTGTAGCTTTTAGCTGATGGGTTGTATTTTTTATTTAAACTCATGTTTTAACCATCCAGCACTCTAATCCATATAAGCCATTAAGTGAACACAATTCATTCTAAAGAAGCTGATTACCTGGGTTGTACAGGTCAATGGAGATCAGTTACGCACAAAGTTTCTGCAGGACATCCTGTTCTTTCCTTGTCTCCCTGGCCAACCGCTAGCCTGGATCCTCTACCAAATGTCACAGTGACACTTCCATTTCCCTGGCGTGCAGGCTAGCTGTGCCACAGACAGCAGGGCTGACCCACTAGGCCAAGTCCTTTGGGCACAGCACAGAATGAGCAGAGCAAGACGCCTCTGTCTCCTGGACCAAAACTAGCCCAGGAGATCTTCTCCAGCTGGAAAGCAAACCCTTCCAGGCCCAAGGGGCTTGACCAAGAAACATCCTAGTGCTCAAGAGGAAAGACGTAGTCCAGCTCCAAAAAAGGCTTAGCAGCAGTGGCTTTGCACCTGTCCGCCACGTGCACCAAGGTTTCTGGAAGATTACTGGCTACGCACACTGCGACAGGCATAGACAAGAGCTCTTCACGGGCGTTCCTGCAACGTGCAGCACGGCGGTACGCACAGACACGTTGCAGTTCTGCAGCCCCTCGCTCACATCCAATGAGACTGGGATCAACCTGCAATTTAGGAGACTGAGTGGGCCCAAGCTGTCTGTGAAGGACCACCTGGGTATCTCCCAATATGCCTTGCAGCAACCACAATTAGCTTGTTATTACTAGTGTGGTATCCCAGTGCAGACTTGCCCAAGTCAATAAAAAACAGATGACAACTGCAGATCTTTATTTGCTGTTAACTGTTGCTCCCCAAAACAAAGTCCACTAGGAGCTGTTGTGACTAAACACGTTTGCTGCACTGCTCTGCCAGCCGCTCCACTGAGCGCTATAGTGCCTCACCACAATTCTTTAAGAAGGAACCAGCAGGTCCTTTGCAGAGAGAGAACATTTCATAGATTATTTTCTTTCTCACGTTATTTTAAAACCAGAACAACTTCCTCCACTGTGGCTTCTTTAGAAATAACTGCATGGTGCAGCAGGCCAGGATGCCCTGTATCTCAAGCTCACTGGCAAAAAACCCTGCTCACCAAGACTTTTCCAAACATAATCCTCCTCAGTACAGTCACACACACAAAAAAATCTAACTCTATTCCCCACCCCCCCACATATCCCAAAAGCTTTCTAAATAAACGTAATTATGTCTTGCTCATGCACACAGCTTCCCTTTCCTTTCCTACTTTCCCTTGAAAGTAAGAACAGGGGATACTGCAGGAGATGCAGCTTCTCTCCTCCCTGCTCACCAGAAGATGGCAGCAATGTGTGCTCCAAGTCCTCAAGGACTGTGGACATTAGCATCATACACAAAAGAATCAAGATTTGGGGTATTTCTTAAAGCAGCAAGCAGCTGCTGATCATTTGAAAGGGATGCATGAGAAATCTCTACCTGAAACTTTAAAGTGCTGGACAATTTGATTTCTTTCCACACAGCTTCACTTCTGGGAAATTCTCTGCCTTTTTACCTTTTTATTCAGAGCAATGAAGTATAAAAGAAAAAAAAAAAGTCACAGGCTATTTATTTCCTAAAGTTCCCTTTTTCCTGCATAGAAAACAGTTTTTCCAGATTTTGGCAACAAAAACAAAAAAAAAAACAAAAAAACAAAACAAAAAAAAAAGCTCCCAACAAGCAGAACTCCTACAGATTCTGCAAATACATTAGGCAGAGAATCAACTTCATCTTGTTACTAGCTACAAAAATTATCTTGCAGCCATTTAGTGAGGACTCACGGTGGATCTGAACATACAACACAGTTACAGTGCAGTGACATTTTTACATATGGGCAATTACTTAAGCGGCTAGCCTAGGATTTACAGATATTTGAGAAAAGAGTATCAGAGAGGCACATTAGGTTCACATTAATCTCTTTCCTTACTAACGTTTTAAAATTGTCTTTCCTCTGTGCTAGATCTAATGGCTTATTAAAAGAGTATTTTAAGATAAACAATGAGATTTACTGTGATTTTTTACTAGATTGCTAGCAACATTATAATCACTTAAATATAAACAAAGCAAACACCCTCCCATCCTATGGCAGAAATGCTAATTCAGTTGCAAAAGCTTACATCAGAAAAACAGTGTTTAGGTTTTTGTAGTGTTCTAAGCAAACAGTACATTATTAAAGATTTTTATTTCCAGTTTACAGAAACATTAATGTTACAGTATTAACTCTGTTTTGCAAATGGTTTTATAGCTGCTGAGCATAAATATTATTTCATCTCTCAAGTTGTAATAAAACATTAAGACACCACTGAGACCCTCTGTTTAGAGGGGCATTACAGTGTCAAAAACAAGAGGACACCATTAAAAGAACTGGTTCTCTCTTTACAAATCCGAATTTCCCAACCTGAGAAAGCAAACAAAAACAAAACAGGAAGCAGAAAACAATACTTCCATTGATCCACCTTTCTCAGCAGGCCTTACAAAACTATTTGAGTCTCTACTACACTACTTCTTGGAGACGGCAACATCTGAACCACCAGCCATTTAGCAGCTCTGCAAAAAAATGAGTACCATGCTATTCACTTCAGGAGGTACAAATTCCAGAGCAGCAGAACTAACGCGAACAACAGTAATTGACTTGTAACTATACATTGCGTGTTTTCCCAAAATTCACGTGAGCCCACAGTATTTTTACTTACATCTCTGTATCCATGGGGAATAGTGCCTGAAATATCAGCAAAAGGAATCACACATCCAGCTGGACAATACTTACTGGAAGAGAACAAAATATCAAGTCAAGATATGCATGCAACTACAGCTCTCCTAATGTTATAAAATAGTCACTATGTTTGTGATTTACCATACACTGTTATCATTCATATATCACTATTTAAGGATACATCCTAATTGAAGACATACCAAATCAGACAAAGAATACTCAGGAAGAGAATTACACAACAGGAGAACAGACAGTTGAGAGAGTTTAAAAAAAAAAAGTCTCAGCTGAAAGTACAGTTCCAGTCTCAATATAATAAATTAATACAACCAGCATTTTATAATATAAATACTGCATGGCTTCTGCAAATTGAAAGTCATATTAAGTATCAATATTAATGAATTCTATTTTATAAACTAAAGACCTGCATATCTATTTGTTTTGCATCTTTAAATTATACATCTGAAAAGTAATGCTATTTTATAATAGCTCCTTGCACTGCCTTCATAAAAAACTGGCCAAATTCAGTTAACACACTAGCTCACAAAAAGCAAGAGGCAAGACATCTGCATCTCTGCTCCAAGCCCGTGTTCATGCTCTAGTGCTGTTTCATAGTGCACATACATAAACTATTAAATCTTCAAGACTATTAACATCGTCACTGTAGTTCAACAACAGCGGAAGCAACATTGCAGGTACCATGAAAATAGTGAGATTCAGAGACTTCAGCACATGTTGAGTAAGGCCAGAACCTGCAATTAGAGCCCTATTCTGGAACTTGGGAAACTAAGAGAGAAATGCAAAGGTTGTACTTTGAAATGTCTCATGATGCCAGGGCTAAAGTTCTCCAAAAAGTAAGCTTATGCACTTCACAACAGTCTGCAGCTTTGAACACTGTCCTTGCTTTAGATGGAAATGGAGAAGAAGAAAAAAGGGAAATGACATATGGTTCCCCCACCAGAAAGTACAGCATTTTGTGTCTCCACAGAACCTCATTAATGCAGGCCAAAATGTGAAATGGGCTTGTAATTTTTAACACATTTCATAGTTTAGTGCTCCTTAGGTAACTGTAATATGATTTTCAGCATAAGGTGTATACCTGCTATAATATGTATTTATAAAAGCAATATTCTTGCTATGGGAATGAGATATTAGCTAGTGTGTATTAGTGCAAATTAACGAGGTTCTACTGTATACCGCACATAAATATCAAAAACGGGGTGTGGAGGCGGGGGGGGAGGAAGGAGAAGTGCAAATGTCAAAATTATTCAGCTCTACCCCTAATTACTTTATTTCTTAAGTTCTCTGGACAGCCAACTTTCAAGCTGCATCAGGTTTAAGTAACAGAGTGAAGTAGAAACACTAAAATTACTTCATTAAAGAGATGGGGAGGGGGAACAGGTAAAATCAGTCTTACTTGAATTCTGGTTCGGAAAAGTGACTTGCATTGTCTAAACAGGTAATTAGGTCTGGAAAGAAAAAATGTTAAGTCAAGAGGATGATAAAGACAACAAATTTGAGAAATTTTTAAAGTGCATGAAAATATATATTTGAGCCTCTTGTGGCTTAACCATAAGTCTCAGAATGAAAAAACACATTCCTACTAAATCTTCTTGCAACAGATTTTGTATTACAGTAGAACCTTGATAATTTGTCTGAGTAACTGGGAAATCCACTGAGAACGGGACACAGGCAAGAAGAGAAACACTACAAAAATCCGTTTTCTGTGCAGCTTCATTTTCATTGATAGCTATATTTCAGAGAACCTAACATAATTCAGACACAAACATACGCTCTTCTCAAAAGATTCAATGAATAAGCTAGCTAAACAGGCCTTCTGTTTTCAGCATTTAACACTCCTACACTACTGAAATCAGACAGCATAGGGAACAAACGTTACAGTGCCATGTTACTGGCATCCATGACTGATTAGCTCAAATTTCGTGCTTCTGTCTGCTGTGTATCAGCACATACAGTCCAAAATACAGAGAGAAAAGCATCAGGAAACCCACAAAATAAAAATTAAAAATTAAAACTCTTTTTGAAAATACTTCTAGAAAGTGTTCTCGCAAGCCTTTCGCCTTGTGAAGCAGTTGCTGGCAATCCTTCGTTTCCTTGTGGACCATGTATGTCGCTCACCTTTACAAGTGGAAGGAGATGCAAAACAAACACAGCAGCCTCTTTTAGAGGCTAGAATAACCAAAACCACATAAAAACCAAGAAATGGCAAAAAGACTAAAAACTAGTCAGCAGATTATATCATTAAAGAGCTGAGGGAGTACAGGATACTGTTACTGAAATAAAATTTTCCACAAGATTGGTCTATATAAAATATATACAGGTCCATGAGAAAACTTGTTAGTTACCTGCCACCTTGACTACTACCTGAAAAAAATGCATTTTGTGCTTTATCTAAAGCAGCTCTTTTCACTCCTAACAGGTAACTGATTTCTTCTCTGCTATTCAAAGTATACTTTGATACCAATTCTTTAAAACTACAGTAACTTAGAGTAACTGCCAGTCCAATTTTCTATGCAGAAGAATCAGGAGGACTGTATTAAGTCTTCATTTTTAGAAGTTAATTTGTGAGAACATGGGAATAAATCAACTAGCTCTGTGTTTTTACTAGACAGCTCTAATTTTACCAGCACAGAAAAATTACAAAATAATCATAAATACCTGATTTGTCAGTGGTTGAGTAAGCTGCAAGAAACCCACGTCCAGAAGTGTGTGTTCCACTCATGAACTGTACTGTGACTTCATTACTTTTTGAAGTAATTAAACCATCCATTTGAAAGCCAAACCCACAGTACTTTCCTATGGAGACAAGGGAGAGGACAGACGTGGACCAAAATCAACATATGTGAGAAGCATCTTATTTCACTTGCAGTGTAAGCTCACATTGCTTCTGGCATATATTCAAAAACAAATGCATGTGCATGACACTAAATACTGTAGTCAGTGTCCACGTAAAGCAAATGGCAGAATGTGAGTACCACATTTATTTTGTCACTGTCAACAGCTGAGAGTCTCTCATACCCTTAACACTTGCAAATAAATGTGACCTTATGCCATTCACCTCTAGCCATGCATAACCCTCGCAGTCAGTTCTTCAAAGGCCATGAAAAATCTGTCAAGGAAAAGGATCAAGTTAGGGCAACGAGAATCACCTACAGAAGCAAAGGAGAAAAAAGCCTTTCTCGTCCCTCAGCTGTTGGGACACTTCTTCCTTGTCAACTATTTCCTTGGCTTTTGTCAACTACTTTTCTTAACTTTGGACAACAAGAGGCATGATTCACTGCAGTTCAGCATTAACATACAATCACACATGAGTACCATTAAGCTGCCAGTTGGCTTGCTTTGTTTTGCTGCACCTATAAAACCTAACACAGATTCTGCATCTGGATACTTCTCTTGCCATCCAAAATGGCCAAAAATAATACGTTTTAAACTGAGATGCTGGAGTCTGCAGATACCGACAATATCTGCCCTATGAAGTCCTAGAATTACTACCAAATGACATTACCTGGATGAATGGCTGTTAAAAGGACCAAAGTCAGTAAGGAATTCTCCAGTCCTACTAACTAGAAACTTTAATATAATACTGATCAGTTTAGAAACCTGTTAAGAAAAAAAAAAAAAAGAATCTTCTGTTCTATAGGGTCCCTTGATCCTTCAATGTTGTAAAGCACCTACAACCTTATTTAAGATTCTGCAGTGGATAATCAGTGGATAATCACCAGCAGCAAATGACATTGCCTACGTTTCAGTTTACCATTCGTTTATTTGCTTTCTTCATAATAAGTATGTTATCATACATAAAAGAGCAAAAAAAGAAGCCAGTTTCCCTTCTGAACTGAAGGCAAATTACAATACTAAAGTAGAGGGAGTGGAATAACACTGCCCTGCAGGAACAGTTCTTAACAAATATAACAGTACAAAACAAATATAAATATAGCACAAACAAATATAATGGGTATGTTGAATTCCTTTAAAAAAGTGAACTGCACTCTCAAATACTAATAAAATTTTTAAAAAAAAATTAGAAATACAAATTCCTATAACTAGAGCTTTCTAAATGTTGCTTATTCAGATACTTTTTGAACAAAGCAAGGGTATTTTCTAATGAAAAAAAAACCAGAAAACAGATTTTATAATACTTTAATGAAATTTGTAATATTATAAAAATACAACCTTACCTCAACTCAGTACTTAAACTGGTTGTCAGCAACTGTTTCAAAGAAGTAAGTTTCCAAGGCTGCACATTGACCCTATGATTTGCTCTAAGTCATGTTTCAATGTTTAATTGCATTCATTATGAAGTGCATCATTTTTCCAACTACTACGTTTCTTTTCCTTTTCTTTAAGTTTTATTTTCAGCCACTGGATCGTGTTACAGGATTGATCAGCATGAGGCTCAGGGTAGGTCAGACTGTCCTCGAGACACCATTTATCCTCTTCTTCGGGTAAATACACAGGGCAAGACATTTAAATCTAGTTTGGATAAACTATCCAGTGCTGCTTGCACCATGGAGATACAGCCTTTGACAAACTAGACTGATGCACCTCATGATTCATGGCAAGACATACTTTTGAAACTATAAATCGCTTTTCTAAGTCTTCCTGGCCTCTCACCAGATTTTTAGCAATCTTTTTTAGAAGTAGGCACTAGAAACAGACAAAACATGACTGCCGTGACACCTCTGCAGAAGGTGTGCGCAGAAGATGTAATATTACATTTTTATCTGTACTTACGCATTGAGAGACCCCAAGTGCTTTCATACAGCAACGTTACAGCAGGAGAGGGAATTCCCACAGCAGCTTACATCCTCTGCTCCTATAGATCTGGGCTTACACTGTATGTGTTAAATAAGTACATCTGACTGACGATGCACAGTGATTGGTCTGTGATGAACTCTAAAAAAAACCATCTCTAGATCTTAATTAAACTAGAGACAAACTTAACACCAAGGATCTGAATCTTCTTTTGATTTACTGATAAATATTCAAAAGGCTTGGAATGAGAACTAGTCCTTAAAAGCTTCATTAGAAACCACCTCTGTTTATCAATGAACTAGTCCACTAACAATCTAATTTTTAATCAGCCAATTTTTAAGTTATTTTGGGTTAAAGTAGGTATCATTTCAGATTTTATGTAATACAAGTACATTAATGTTAGACCATGTCACTAGTCTTGAATGGGAAAATTTAGGATTAATCCTGATTTCTTCCAAACAAATTCAGGTCACTGTTTAATCTCTGCAGTGTTTGTTGCTTCAATTATGAACACTCAGGAATCTGCATCATCTGTTAATATCACTGTTCTGTGATTTAATTTATTAAGAGCAGAACAACACACACATTTGCTCAACATACTGTGCTACTACAACAGCTGGGAACAGCTGAAAGTCAAGAGAAACAAACGAAGTAGAAAATTTACTCGAACCCATTAAGTCACTTGTAAAAGTGAGTAATAGACTGATCAGAACTGGACGTTCCTTGCCATTTAAGGACTTCAGCGCTTCCTATTTTAGACCAAGCCTGGCTCAACAGCTCCAAGCACACACTTTATTTTCGCACACACTTACCTAGGTAACAGTAGGGAAGGGTTAACAAACCTAACGTTCCACTTGACTCTTTATAAAAAGACCCAGTTTAGCGGGATCAGCATTTGAGTTGCACAAACACAATCTTGGTGAAATAAATATCTCTCTCTCTCCAGATTAAAGCTTTAGGAAGGAAAATAGAATTAAACTGCACAATAACAACTTATTTTAATAAAGGAAGAATGGCAATTCATTTTGAGTTTTATGCAAAGTAACCACAAGGGTCTTAAAACCCTTAATACACCTTGACGTAGATGATAATGTCACTCTGCTATTTGAAAAAACCCCTGCCTTACAGTCATGAAATTCAGTTTGTCCTATAAAAGAGGACAAAAATTAAACTATGAACATTATCAAAAAATGGGGCATTTTTGAACTACGTAACTTTTTAAGCCTGACATCCTTTAACAGCACAAAGATGAACAGTTCAAGTCAGAGTGATTCCACATAAAAAGGAAGGCATTTCAGGTGAAATATATATACTACTTTTTTATTTCCATCTTTTTTTTTTTTTTTTTTAACAAAGATCCTCATAGTTTTGCAATTCCCTCTCCACCGCTTACAAAAACTTCGCAAGCTACTGGGAAATATCTAAGAAAATAAAACATAACAGTGGAGTTTCCTTTGAGAATCTGAAGAATCAAAGATAATTATAGGATCTGTGTTGCATTTAGCATCTAGTTGTATGCACATACAAAACATAGGATGGTCGGCTATCATTATTCCTCATAATTTTTTCAGTAAATTTTTAGGATATGGGAATTGTGTCAAGACAACAGACATTTATGTACACTTTAATAACAGTAAATAAAATGCAATTACTTAAGAATAATTACATTAAGAACACTCTGGCATTCCAAACAGAGTTCATCTGCTGAGCAACAACGGTAAGTGTACTTGAAATGAGCACGTCATCAGAGAAAGAGACCATCAGACCTCATGAAGTTCAACGAGGCCAAGTACAAGGTTCCGCATCTGGGTCAGGGCAACCCCAAGCACATTTACAGGCTGGGCAATGAGTCGACCGAGAGCAGCCCTGCGGGGAAGGGCTTGGGGGTGCTGGTGGATGAAAGACTGAACATGAGCCAGCAACGTGCTCTCGCAGCCCAGAAAACCAGCTGTATCCTGGGCTGCATCAAAAGAAGTGTGGCCAGCTGGTCAAGGGAAGGGATTCTCCTCCTCTGCTCTGCTCTGGTCAGATCCCACCTG